GAAGTATCCCAAGCAAGAAGCCATGCTTCCCTAGCAACAATTCTTGGTGATATCAAAATTTTTGAGATACTTTCCCTATTCCTATCTTTCCATATACACCATGCAATACATACACACATAACAAGCCAATTAATTCCTTTCTAGTCCTTGATCTTTCTGATCTTGAAATTCAGATTAATCCAATCTTGTAACTCTCCCAGCTGGGCAGTTTCCTCCCCTTGGGATAGATTAAATAATTTCCAAACTCTTTGAGCTTTTGGACAACAAAGATAACATGCAATGAGGTTTCATCAAAGTATTGGCATCTAATGCAAGTAGCCTCACTAAACATGTTTCTTGAGGCTCTAAGATTATTAGTGACCACAAAAATTGTTTCAGCTTTTGGGGAAGACTCATTTTTTAGATCCAATTCTAGTTAAGAGAAGGAAGACTGTTTGGATTGGACCTAGAGAGGAGTTCAAAGGCTGCCTTTGTTGAGAATTTTCCATTACAAGAAAGACCCCAACAAATGGTATCCTAAAACTCAATAGATAATGGACAGCGAGTGTGTAAAATATCGAGCAAAGTGGAGTGAGGAAGAAGAATATCTGCCTCTTGGAGATTTCAGTTACCTTTATCATCAATGAAGTCAGCCACCTTTTTGTTGAGATTCAAATAAGCTGTATGAGTAACCTGCTGCACTAGAGGGCCATCTCCCCACCACCAATTAGTCTAGAAATTAATATGTTTACCATCACCAATCAGCCATTTAGATCCTAGATCCACTAAGTTTTTAATCTTTCCAATTGCTCTCCAAGTTGGTGAACTAGCAAGCTTAACCTTCCAATTAAAATGCTCCTGATCAACATATTTATTATTGACCACTTTAGCCTAGAGTGCTTTATCTTTGTTTTTCACTTTCCAGCCCAATTTAGATAATAGGGCCAACTTATTATCCCTACTATTTCTTAAGCCCAGCCCCCTTCATTTTTAGAAGAGCACACCCTGTTCCAATTCACAAGGTGAATCTTTTTCTTTTTTGGTGTGTCTCCCCCCAAACAATTCCAATTAAGTCCGTCAATCTGGTCACAAGTTGCTTGAGGGAGCCAATTAGTTTGCATAACATGATTAGAGAGAGTGGAAGTAACAACCTTAACAAGAGTGATTCTACCAGCCAAGTAGAGAATTTTGGCTTTCCACCCACTAAGTCTATTTTGTATCTTCTCTATGATGAATTTAAAGTGATCCTTAGAAGATCTTTTATGAAAGATTGGAATACCTAGGTATTTTCCTAGGTCATCTGTGAGGGTGACTCCACATTTTTTGCTAAGAAATAAAGCATGACTTTTACTTATGGTAGGAGAGAAGTAAATCTTAGACTTGTTCAGACTAATTTTCTATCTTGATATCGAATAGAAGTCTTTAAGCACATCTTTGATCATAAGAAAATCTCTTTCAATAGCTCTATAAAATAGAATAATGTCATCAGCAAAGAGTAATTGATTGATTAGTAGTCCCTTTCTAGAATCTTTTCAATATCTTCATTTCCCTACTTGGACTTTTTTTTAAATTAATTGTCCTAGTCGTTCCATACACAAAACAAAGAGATAAAGGGATAAGGGATCCCCTTGTCTCAAACCTCTTCTAGATTTGATAGGCTCTAGAGGAGAACCATTCTATAAGATGGAAATGATTGACCCTATAATACAACTCATGATGATATCAATCCAAGACTGTGGGAAGTTAAAATCAGTCAAAGTTTTATATAGAAAATTTTAGTTAACTCTATCATAAGCTTTTTTTCAGATTAATTTTAATAACCATTCGTCCAATCTTTCCTTTTTTCCTCTTTAGGGAGTGGATAATCTCTTGTGTTATTATAACATAATCTATAGTTTGTCTGTTTGGGATAAAACTACACTGGTTAGGACTAAGTCTCAATACCAGAAGCTCTGTCAAGATTTAACAAAGGAGTTGTTAAATCTGAAGTTACCTCATCTCATTGGGAACACTGCAGAGCTTTTTATTTTTTTATTTTTTAATATTGTATTAAAAAAATTAAAAAAATCCAAAAATAAAAAATTTTACTTCAAAAATTGATAAGATTCACTCAGAAAATTAGTTAGTGAATCCAAAAAAAATTAAATGAACTCAAAAGGTGAGTGCATCCTAAAATTAGTAAACTCCCCAAAAATAAATAAATCACACATTACCGAAATTTATTTTTTTTGAGTCCTGTTGTCCATATGACGTCAGCCCTTACCTCGGCAGTTGCTAGAGTTCGTCATCCACGCGTGGCTAAATTGTCATCACTGGCCAACCCTTTACCCAATCACCGAGACGTCGATTTTATTTTTCTTAAAAAGGAAGGATAAGTCGATAAGATTAGTGTACTCCTAAATACAAAGGAAAAGTCTACGGTATGAATTTTTTTTTTTTTTTTGATATTATATCACTGATTATAATTTTTTATAGTAAAATTATACATTTAAAAAAAATTATAATTGCTTAACCAAAGATTATGATTGATCACAGAAATTTACAATCGATTATCGATTGTTATCTTTCATGGTCGATCATGCATTTAAAAATAGTAATTTAAACCTTAAAAATGTTATAACTTAGTTTTTAAAAATTACAATACTTAGTTTTTAATAATTACAATTTTTGTTACGATCCCATTGACGGTGTTGTAGCCTTTCCCAAATACAAATGTTCAGTTCCTTACCAGTTACCAAAATTAAATGTTAATTGTAAACTTTAATTTAATGAATTTATAGTCATTAATTATAAAAATTGTATAAAAATGTTTATTGTTGTTAGATTCTTCACTTGTTTTATCAGAAAGAGCAATGTTATAGGGACTTTATTTGGGGATCTTATTTAAGAACTTATGTACATACAATGAATTGTTGTGGGCTCCATTTAACATTAAAACTCACAACTAATCCAATAATTACATTAAAATTACATCATTAAGTCCTTAAATAAGGTACCCAAATAAAGTCCAAATAGCATTTTCCTATCAGAAGAGCAATGATAACGTTGTTAGGATGAGCACACTATAATATTTTTAGGGCTCGTTTGACTGTCGTATTAAAAATGAATGGATTAGATAAATTAATATAGACTAATACAATACAGATGAATAAAATACAAGATTAAATAGTGTATTAGAATAATGCGTAATTTTATCTTGTGTTTGACATACACAACATAAACATTAGATAATAGTTATTTAGTGCAATCCGTTGTTTGGTTATAGAATTATTTTATCGTATTAATGTTAAATCTATACTACTAATAAAAGTACACTATCAAGAAATTTTTTTTTTTGACTATTTTATCCCTACAAGAAAACATAATCACAATATTAACCATATTTAATGTAAAACTCTTTTAATAAAACTTGATTAACATCAAATTTTGTTGGATTAATTTACTCTTAAAATAAAGTATAAATGCAATACTAACCTTATTAATAAGAAATTCATATTAATACAAATTCATTAGTGTATACATATTTAAGATTATAATCTAACTTTTAAAGGGCAAGTTTAACTGTTAAAAAGAATTAGACTTATTTTTATTAGCTGATGATCAAACTATGAATAAAGACACGTTGAGCTTTATTTATTATAGAATTTATTTTGACGTATCCTCAATAATACTATCAAACCCCAACTTTTCATCCTTTTCTATTTTACCATTTTAGTATCAATGCATCCTCTTATTCGTAACACTAGAGTAACGTTGTTTTTACTTTTTTTTTTGTTGGATGATGATTACTACTAATGTTTGTTGGATGATGACTACTATGAATGTTCATGATTAAATTGATCTATTTATTGCAACCAACTTAATTACTTATTTCATTTCTACAACTTAACTTTCTTTTACAATTCAATAAGTGTTCGTATTTTTGTTTAGTTGTTATATAAATATATAACATCATATCATGAAATATATTTGTATCATTGCAATGATATTGCAAATATAATTCATGCAAATTATTAGTTTCATGTTAAAATTTCTAAATCTTAGGAGATAGGTTTATAAGAAAATAATAACTCAAAACTGTAGGAGTTAATCCTAAAAGAAATAAAAACTAATATTCTTTAAGAAAACATTCCAGTATAAATTGTAGCAAGTTTACCACATTGTTTAATTCATAAGTATTTATAGGCTGTTATATTTACATCATTGTTTCAAACAATTACAAAAATAAAATTGAAACAAAAATTATAATTTAAAATGATTCATGTGCAAAGCACGTGTGCATGATCTAGATAAAAAAACATCAAAATGATCAAGTTTATTCATTAAGTTAAAAAAATTCATTTAGTTAAAAAAAATCCATTAAGTTAAAAAAAAATTAAAAAAAATCATTAAGTTAAAAAAATTCAATTGAGTTAATAACAGTAATAATTAATTGACAATAATATCAATAAAAATACCATAAATCAAAAAAATAAAATTTTATTCGAATCAATGCATTTATGTGAACCATTGTCAAAACCATTATAAACCCAGATAACAACTCAAAACAACATAGATTTTCAAAAATATTTTAGCGTTTAAAATGAAATTATGCAATATTATTAAAAAATGGAACTTTTTTTTTTTTTTTTTTGGTTTGGTCAGAAAAAAATGGCATTTTCTGGAAAAAGGAAACGTGGCACAAGTCACATTTTATTTAAAAATTTAACTTAACATTTTGATTTAATAAAGCACAATTATTAAATAAGTGATGAATTTCAATAAATATTGAGACTTACGGTTTTAATGATTCGAAAACATTATTTGAATTTAAAATATCAACTTAAAATTAATAATCGTGATTATTAAGTGCACTTTTTAAATATACTTTTTCGGTGGGGAACATTGCTCAAGAGTATTTTAGCTTATTGCTTGCGTAGAGGGAACGGCTGTGGGAAGTAAAAAGTCAAAGAAAGTAGAGAAATTAACAAATATAAATTTAAAAGCTGTGTTCCTCTATAAAGACCACTTCACCATTCCAAATGCGAATCAGTCCACTCTTGCCTTATCTCAAGATTCTCAGCACACACACACACACAGAGTTGAAGAAGCTTGAACGAAGAAAGGAAATGGCAATCACAGTGCCTAGAATAAAACTGGGTTCACAAGGTTTTGAGGTATCAAAACAGGGACTGGGCTGCATGGGATTGACCTTTAACCATGGTTCTCCCAAGCCAGAAGAGGAAATGATCAAACTCATCCACCACGCCATCAACACCGGCGTCACCTTCCTCGACACCTCCGATATATACGGTCCCCACACCAACGAACTCCTTGTTGGCAAGGTATTTTTCTCTATTTTGCTTCAATCGACAACAAAATCGATGTTTCAGAAATCGGTTTTTAGATGTTCTATGGGTGTTCATAACTAGTCCGCACAGCACACTCATAGCTTGCTTGGTATGAGGGAAAGATAGATGGATGAAAAAAGGAAATAAAGATACATTTTTCTTTCTTTGGTCAGCACCCTAATTTTAATCGCTCCAAATTCAGACCAAACCGAGAGAAAAGTGAAAAAGTTTGACTTTTTTTTTTTTGGAAGATAAAATGATTCTATTGATACAAAAGGACAAGATACAACATGGTGAATTCCCTTACAAACAATAGGAATCACCTATTAAGAGCCAAACTATAGAATTTTGGGGGAAGTGAGGATGATTGTCCAGACTTCCAACAAAATGCATTAGTGAAGAGAATAGTCCAAACAACAATTGGGAGATTAGAGTGAGGGATGTGCTGGAAGCATAAAAGTAGATTCAAGTATAGAGTATACCTGGGAATCTTGTTCATTTTGGGATGGAGGCAAAACCTCTAAGAGATTTTGAGTGATTTGCTGCTCTTGTGCTTGTGTAGAGGTTATGGGATTGGCATCTGCAATAGCACTAATTGTAGGGAGTTCAGGAGAAACAAACTCAACTGTGGAAATAATGGATTTCTCCTTCGCACTTCTGGAATCTTCAGGCTTCTGTGGGAGGTTTTTAGGTTTCCAAGCGGTAGTGGTAGCGATAGCCATCTTGGGACAAGTGGTGTCAGAGTGACCAAATATTTTGCACGAGTGGCAAGTTTTGGCCTCCATTGGTGTTCAACAGAAAATTTTAACCTTTTCAATATTGTCATTGATCTCCATTTCGAGGTTGAAAGAATCAATGAGCTCAGAGTTTGCACTGATTTCCACACAAATTCTAGCAAAGTTCAACCTACGTTTGGAGGAAGTAAGAGAGTCGGCATGAACAGGACGCCTAACCGCGCTGGAAATGTGGCTTAAACCCTCATATGTCCAAAATTGTAATGGAACATTGAAAAGCTTAATCCATAGGGGGATAGTGGAGTGGTCCTCTTTGAAGAGAGTAAGCCTTGGATTCCAGTTTTTCAAAATTAAGGGTCTTCTAGAGAATAACCAAGGCCCAGCTTCAAACACAGAATTTTTTGCTTCTTCGCTCATGAACTTGAAGAAATAAAATCCCCTGTCATATGCTAGAACTTCAAGAACCCACAGCTTGTCCCAATTTCTGTGAGCAATGAAATTAACAGAGGAGTAGGGAAGCTTCATTTCGATGAAATAACCAACCAACCAGTGTTGCCATTCTAGACTACCCTTTTCTCCTACCTCTTTAGGGGGTTGAACAACCACCCTTTCCTTTTCCCTTCTAGACTCATAATACTTGAGTTTCATCACCTGAGTTTGAACTTTAGCTCCTTGATCATTTCCAGATTTCACGATATGGCTCCAAGTGAATCTTGGGTTGGGGTTACTTTGGTCTTGTGGTTTAGGTTGACTTGGAACAAAAGGGTGATTAAACTTTGAAGAAACAGAGTCATTTGGGTTGGAAACAAGGGATCGGTTATTTTGACCAGGGGGATCTTTTTGGCCGAAATCTTCGGTAACCAACTGACCTTCTTCTATTTCCTTTCCTAGATCCACCGTGGTTTGTAGAGAAGGGTATTCATTGGTGGTAGATGGGTCGGTGCCCTTCTCTTTGAGTGGGGTAATCTTGGGTAAAGGGTTAGGGAATTTAATACCCTTATCTGAGATTGTGGGGAGCAAATCTGGGTGGGTGGGGTCCATAGGAGAAGGTGAGAGTGAAGTAAAGGCAGAGAAATCAAGGGAGGGGAGATTTGAGAAGGATTTCTGGAAGGAGGAGGAAGAAGACGAGAAAGGGGGAAAAGGGTTTCATTTCAAACCTCACTTGCATAAGTTATTACAAAGTTGGACTTATACATGTCTAATTTACTCTTTTAATCTTCCTTTTACAGCTTCCTTCTCACGCCTCTCTCTCTCTGCCTCTCTCCCTTTTAAGTTCCTCTCCTCCCTCTCTTTTATAACCTTTTTTGTTTTGATTTTTTTTGGGGGGGGGGGACGGGGAGGGGAGAGGGAAAGAATATAAGCATCTGGTCAGGGTGGCCCAAAAATATTTGAAATTTAAAGTGATAATTAAAAATGGTTTTCAATTTTTAATATTAATAAATTTTTATTTAAAATTATTCTTTTTTTAAAGATTAAAAATATTACTATTTTTTATGTTTAAGTTTCGCTACTATATATTTTTATATTGATAATATCTCTTCCATCTAATCTTTTTAATGATAATTAATCTTAATGAAGATTTTATCAATTTTAATTTAAAAAACTTTCTTTTAATTTTAAACTATTATGTTCTACTAATTTTAAATTTTTAAGTATAATAAAAAATCAAACTATTCAAATTTTATGGGTTGGGTTCATGGGCCCAAACTATTCAAATTTATTTTTGATTGGGTTTAGAGTTTCATAAGGTTATTTTGGGGTCTAAAATCTTCAAGATCTAGGTTTTTATTTTTGACTTAGATTGACTATACATTTGAAATTTTTGGGGCCTTCTTTTTACTTGGGGCCCAAACCCCAGGCTTTGCTGGCCTTATGGTAGGGTCGGGCCTGCATATCATTTGCATCATGATTGTGTTGCTCTATTTTTTGTTTTTAGTTTTAATCATAAATTTACATGAGAAAATGTTGTCATATATTTGATTTTGTTAAATTTGAATCAACGAACTTAATTCATGCTATACCAATTTTGAATAATCAAGGGCTTTTTTGGCATTTTGATTTATAACATGTTTCAATTATTTTTTCCTCACATTAAACAAATCAATAAAAAAATTTATTCTTCCTACCAAATAAAAAGGAAGGAAATATATACTCTTTCTTTACTCCGTAGATGAAAAATTTATTACTCTCACTTTTTTATCCCTCCCTTTTATCATCGTTCCTACCAAACATGCTATAAATATGAAGCTATTAAACCACATCTCGCAGGGAACAGAAAACTTGGCTCTTATTAATTACCCACAGTGGGATCGTATTTGTACTATTAATTACCCATTGTCGGAATGTATTTATACTATTAATTAAGGAGGATAAAGTGTTTGGTATCCTGATTGTGACGCCCTAAAACCGGGGATTCCGTTGACCTCCCGTCAACTTGCGGCAATACCCGTAATTGTCGCATAACCCGACATCACATCTATCACATCCCGGTAATCGAAATTACAACTCATGCGTAGATCCATGTTTCCTTTATTCATTTAATCCCATTGAGGTTCAACATACTTCAATGTATCTCATTTAAGGTCCATTTGAGTCATTGAAACTAAAGAACACATAGCCCAAAAGTATGACAATGTATTCTTAAAATTTCAAATTTTTGGAAAACCTTCCGGAAGGTTTTACTCACTAGAAAAGTTCTTCCGGAAGGTTTAATAGACCTTTTGGAAGATTTTGTCTTTTGGAATTCAATTTACACTAAATTTCCGGAAGGTTTTGTCTGCTGGACCAAAAGTCTGCATTAACCTTCCAGAAGGTTATTGCGACCTTCCGGAAGGTTTTACCCAAAATTTTATGCCTCTTCAAATTTTCATTTCCAATCCATTCAAAACCTTTCCAAATCCATCCCAAACATATAAATTAATTATTTTCTACATTATACAAGATCCATACAAGTTCTATTACAATTAATTCCCTATGATTACAAGCCTATTTACACAATTACATGCTCAAAATAGAATTTTACAATTGTTTTACAAAAACTTGTCTTCAAAAGCCACAAACCGGCTTTTCTTCACCCTCGAGGCCTCTAATACGAGTCCTCTCCCAGTACGAATCCCGCACCTGAAATGTTTCCTGTATAGGGTGAGCCAACGCCCAGTAGAGTATTTCCTACAAGGGCTACTCCCCAACCTAAGTGCATATGCAATGTATTATGCAACCAAACACAACCAAAACCCATTCCAATCAACACTTAAGCAAGTCAAGATTGAAATCTAACATACCATGCCATGAGATGAGATGATGGTCAGTCATGCAATTTACCCGAGGCCTTCCTAGCTCTACAACACATGTCATGTCAATGTATATTGACATCGAGTTTTTCTAGCTCCGGCTATTTACCTTCACCTCATGCTATGCAAAGAGTATCAAAATCGGGCTCTCCAAGCCCCCGCCATTTGTGTTACACACCCAATGGCTAACTAAAAATCTCTGGGTCTTTCTTGTGGTGGGTATTTATGGACTTACACCAACGGTCACCCAATCGATACGAAATTTATGGACTTTCACCAACGGTTCCGCGTACACCAACACATTTTATAGGCTCTAACACCAACGAAAGTGTGTATCCAAACACCGGGTCTCTCACCCGAGGGATAGTCTAACCCTTTCTTACTACCCCGATCCAGTTTCTTTTTCCATATAACCGTGCGACTCAGCCGGATATTCAATCCAACTTCCTCAAGCCCACCCATCATCCACCTACATGGTGTTTGATGCTAACTATGCACCCACACCTATAAAATGCGATGTCTACATGCATATGCAATGTAATGCATCATTGCTAATTTAACATCATGCCCACATGTAATGAACGCCACATGAACAAAATTAACTACATTAAAACAAGTCTCATGACAATTTATATCTGAAACATATAATCACCAAACTTTCTCTCAATGCTATATATCAATATATATCATTCTCAACAAAAATTCACAAGCATGTTATAACATAAAATATGCTAACAACACACTTAACTCCCATGACATAAAATGTACATATAACATTCCCACATAACAATCAATTCAATGGATCACATTTTATCAATTCACAAGCCTTTTAAGGTAAAATTCGTCTTACCCAATTTCAATACCCATTTCACCAATTCTATATCCATAGGCAAGTGATACATATCTTTCTCAACCTATCCATTACATATAATACCTAAGTTGTAAAATAAATCCGAGTAAGAAGGAACCTTACCTCTTGAAACGTGAGGAACACGTTGGGAAAGCTCCAAGACTTCAAATCGAGCTCTAATCCAACCCTTCCCAAAATCTTATTTTTTTGCAACTTTCGGTGAAACTCATCATTTTTAGTGTGGTCGTGTAGCCCTTGGCTAGGAGAACAACTTTGGTTCTTGCCCCCGAGTGGATTCGAGCTTCATAGCTTCCTAGATCGTAGAGAGAAGTAAATAATTTCTCTCCTTTTCCTCTCTTCTCTTCTCTATCGGGTGAACGGCTGAAGAATGAGGGAAAATCTGATTTTTTTCCCTATTTATACTTTAGAATACTAGGCCCACAACGCGCCACACGACCCTTTTGTTTCCGGGTCCGTTTTCATCCCGAAACGATTAAATTTCGTTCCGGTTCAAGTTTAAATTAATTTTATTTTAATTTGCATTTAATTATTTCTCAAATTTTAAAATTTTATTAAAACTCCTGTTTTTGGGTCACACGAGACTCGACCGTCTCGAAAAATGTGAAAAATTTTACTGTCTCAGAATTAGATGAAATTTGACGTGGTAGCTAGATTTCGTGAGACGAACCCAATGGTGAGATCTGTTTCATCATCCGAGATCTAGAAAAATTCAGGTTCTCAACCCATACTATAGCGACAAAATTACCGTTTTGCCCTTATTTAGAAAAGTTTAAATTTACCTGGTTTTACACTGATTATATCTATATTACCCTTCAACCATTCATACTTTCTATCTTTATTACATTCTTATATCTATCACTCTTAGATAATTACGCACACGAATGTTGTGTGCAAGTAGGGGTGTCCATGGGCTAGGCCGGGCCGGGCCTTAAGTAGTGTAAGCCCATGCCCTTACCTAAGTGAGTAATCGGGCGGGCCGGGCCGAGCTTCGGGTAGGAGTAGGCTACCCGAAGCCCAACCCATGAGCCTATTGGGTGGGCTCGTGGGCGGTCTTGCTAGGCGGGCTTACTTGCGGTTTTTTTATATACATATTTATTTAAAAATAATGAATATGTTTGTAACTTAACATTTGTGTAAATTATATTTTTGAATCAAAATTAAAGCCAAAATGGATAAAAATAAAACAATGAACTACATCTAATAGAATGAATAAATCCCAACTAGGTTGACACTTGCTAACTTATCAGTTATTTGTATTATTCTATCATTTAAAACTTATATGCTTAATATATGGACAAAAAATTAATACATTATTTATAATATCTAAATTTTTAAAACTTCAAATTTTGATATTGGAAGACTTATTTCAAAGTTTTAAATTTAATGGTCTAAAAATATAACTTATTTTCAAAGGAAGGGTGGGTTGGACTTGCGAGCAGGCTCTTGGGCCGGACTTTAGGTCGGGTAATGGGTTTGGAGGTAAACCCAAGCCCTCTTTTAAAGAATATTGGGCTCGGGCTCGGGCGGGCCAACTATCAGGCCTATCGGGCTTCGGCCCTATTTTTTTCGGGCCGAGTAATGGGACCTGTGGGTAACCCGGCCCATGAACACCCCTATGTGCAACCGCCAACATTATCATTATCAATAATGATGTTTAATTAACAATTTATGACAAATGAAGAGTTTCCGAATCATGGGGTTTTATGATCTTCTCCAATTTGGGTTCGATCCATTTAGATACAATGTGTATACTGCAAATTTTGTAATGAAATAGTAATTGAAATGTGTGCAGGCTTTGAAGGGAGGGATGAGAGAGAAAGTGCAGCTGGCTACCAAGTTTGCGGCTAGGATACTGGAAGGTGGTAAAATGGAGGTTTGTGGCGATCCGGCCTACGTGCGGGAGGCTTGCGAGGCTAGCTTGAAGCGTCTTGATATCGACTGTATTGATCTCTACTACGTTCATCGCATTGATACTCGTGTACCAATTGAAATCACAGTTGGTTTATCTTGCCTCTCTGATGTTCCATAACGCATCATGTTAACAATGAATATAAGTCATGTTGTATTTTGCAGGACCTGATGGTATGGTTATGTATAATTTTCCTATAGTTAAGGAATAAATTTGCATGATTATTAGCTTTTCTCAACTGCCAAATCTAATTAACAAAACTTTTCTTGGATTTCTCTTTATTTTTATCATTAGTTCGACAAATTCAATTTCGTCTTTACGTATTTGTTAGAAGAATCTAATTAACGATTCCATTATTGTCTTTGATTTTCTAGTCCCCCCCCCCCCAAAAAAAAAAATAAAAGAGACGAAAAAGCTCATGTCACACTTTGCTTAATCTCTTTTGTGCCATGCTTTTACCAGATGGGAGCATTGAAGAAATTGGTTGAAGAGGGTAAAATAAAATATATTGGTTTGTCTGAAGCTTCACCTAATACAATCAGAAGGGCGCATGTTGTTCATCCAATAACAGCTATACAACTGGAATGGTCCTTATGGACTAGAGATGCAGAGGAAGAGGTCATTTCCACTTGCAGGTGAGACATCTTGCTTGTGTCAAATGCTAACTAGTTTGTTTACGAAGTGATGAGCATTTCAAGTTTCTAAGTTCATTAATCTTATAACTTTTTAGAGAACTTGGCATTGGAATCGTTCCCTATAGTCCTTTAGGAAATGGCTTCTTCACATCAAGTCCACCGATGGTTGAGAAATTGCTAGAAAACGACTTCAGAAAGGTAAATGGATCTGACAAAATCCTCTCTTCAACAATATTTTGAGGTTAATTAATATTATCTTAGGGGCATTGATCTTTGTGGTTTCATGAAGTTTCTTCTTCTGTCTTAAAAAAAGATTCACTGAAATAATGAGTCACCATTATAGTTCTTATGCTGAATTGTGTGTCTATTTTTTGTAGACTATGCCAAGGTTCCAACCCGAGAATGTCGAGCATAACAAAAATTTATACGAGCAAGTTAATGTAATAGCAACTAGGAAGGGATGTACTATATCACAGCTAGCATTGGCCTGGGTCCATCGCCAAGGGGATGATGTTTCTCCCATACCCGGCACCACCAAGATCGAAAACTTCAATCAGAATGTCGGAGCTTTATCTATAAAACTAACACCAGATGAAATGGCTAAGCTTGAATCTATTGCTATAGTTGATGCGGTGAAGGGTGAAAGGTATTCTTCTTCACACATGGCTTTGACTTGGAGATTTGCAAATACTCCTCCTCTGTCCTCTTGGAAAGCTAAATGAGGATGAGCTTCTAGATGCGTGCTAATACTGCCTTACTACTTTTGATGAAATTCTATCTACTTGTGTCTTAAGAATGTTATAATTCTGAGATTGCATCCTAAGTTAGAACTATGTTATTTTGATGAATAAAGATGAGCCACTTATTGCTTTTTTCATCTTGTCCGATTAGTAAATTTGATTGTTCGTACTATCTTTAATTTAGCTCCATGAATTTATTTTTCCAAAGATCTTATTACATCTGAAAATTCACTTGAAGAAATCAACCTTACAGGATATTAGTAGAAAAATGAGGTTTTGCATTCTATTCGACATAGAAGTTTATCTTATGAAAATTGCATTAGAAAATGATTCATCTTGTATAAAATGAAATTCAATTGTAAACTTAATTGTGTTTTAAACCTCTTCTATTGCCAACAAGTTGCTGGCTCAGTGGATAAAAACTTAAATTTTCTTGTTCAATGTTTGGGTTCGAGTCTTCATAACTGCGACAGCTCATTAGGGCTAAACCTATTCTTTGTGCTCAGAGCACGCAGTGGGACCTTAGCTTCAGCCCCGACATAGGTGCAGTGGGGTTCCTTACAGATAGCTATGTAGTATTGAAGGGCAATGCTCCCTAGCGCATATATGGAGTGACTTATTTGCATATCTATTTTTATGTATTGAAAAAAAAACCATCTCCTATTCGAAAAATTGGATTCATGAGGCTTGTGCGCTATTAGATATAAAGATTAAAGATAAAGATGAGGATCAACCATTTCCATCCTCTCTCTCTCTCTCCAATTCTCCAAATTTGTGATAGAATACAATCCAACTTTCCAAGCTTTGTACTTATCTTTATATTTTGTCATTCTATAAATGTATCAGTAAGTGTAGATTGAATGTGAGAGGAAATATATAGATTTTGCAAGTTCTTTCATGGTATCAAAGCAAAGTTCTGATTTTGTTTAAAAATTTGTATTTATCACTCTGTTTTCTTCATCATGTTAGCATCCTCCACTAACACCCTATTGAAGTAGACATTTTGAGTCTAACTGACTTTGCTACACAGCAGGAGGATGAACTTGATCCTCATAAACTCCAGCCATCATGTTGAGTTGTAGAATTATTCAAACTCTATCAGCTGAGATATTGTAGAACAGTTAGACTTTCATTGCCATATTGTACATATTGTGTAAATTAAAATTGTGAAAAAAAACAGTGAGTTCAAATTCAAACTCTACTATAACTTTACATGATATCAGAGCCTATCCTTGACAACCATCCAAAATGTCTTCCCCTAACTCTTCAACCTCTTCTGACAATGTCACCTCCACATTTCCAATCTTCAATCCCTCTTCCAACATCAATGTCTCCAAATTGAACAGAAATAACTACCCTGTATGGAAGGCACAAATGCTTCCTTATCTCAAAGGCCAAGAGGTCTTCAGTTATGTAGAAGGAACCATTAAACCTCCCCCCTGAGAAATCACTATCGACAACAACACAACCTCCCCCAATCCCACATATGCTCAGTGGGTGAAACAAGAAAATCTCATCCTTAGCACCATCAATGATTCTCTCACTGATGAGGTACTGGCTCAGGTTTACCAGTGCACCACTTCACACAATATTTGAATTTCTCTCTTCACTTGCTTTGCTCCTCAATTCCGTGCCAAAGCTGTCTAGGTTTGGTCTCAACTTGCCACAACCCATAGGGGTAATCTCTCTACCACTGAGTATTTTATGCACATCAAAAAGCTCACAGATGAGCTTGCTATTGTTGGACAAGCAATGAAGAATGATGATATCATCACATATGTATTGGCTTGACTTGGTCCAAAATATGATTCACTGGTTGCCACTATCTTTGCCCGTAATGATTTTGTAACTCTCGAAGAGGTTTATTCTCTTTTATTAACAAGTGAAGCACGAATTCTCCACAATAACCAGCCTCTCTCTATTGCTGGTTCTAGTGCTAATAATGCCACATGACAAGGAGATACCTCTTATGGTCAAGGTAGTGGTAATTCTAACAATTATCGAGGCCGAGGGCGTAATCAATTCAACAATCATGGTGGATATTGTTGCAACAATTGCCAGAACAATAACACTTGGGACATTGATGGTGCCAACCGATCCTCGCTTTGGTGTCAACTATGTGAAAAATTAGGACACACTATCCACAAATGTTGTCATAGGTTCGATATTAGTTTCCTTCACCCTTCCAAGAAAACTAATGCATAGGAAATTGTAGCTGCCAATAATCAGAATCTAAAAAGCGATTGGCATCCTGACACTGGAGCAACACAGCACAGGAATTCTGATTTTAACAACCTCAACTTTCGAAGTGATGAGCACAACGACTCAAACTAAATTCAAGTAGGAAACGAGGCAGGTTTGACTATATCTTATTCTGGTACCTCCAAACTCACCATACCAACACGTTCCTTTATTCTTAACCAAGTTCTTGTCATTCCTAAAATTCAAAAAAATCTCTTATTTGTGCATAAATTTGCCTTTGACAATCATGTTTACTTTGAGTTTCATGAAAATTTCATTCGTATAAAGGATTACTCGGGGAGCATCCAGCATAAAGGCCATCTGCATGATGGTTTATATTGTTTTTCACCACCAGTTCAAAAGAATCCAACATTCATTTTTGTAGGCGTACTCACTTCCATCTCAAATTGGCACTGCAGACTAGGTCATGCTTCTTATCCATTAGTTCGTCAAGTTATTTTTGCAAATAAAATTCCAGTTGGCGAGAATAAAAGAAGTTCAGTTTGCCCTAATTTTCAATTGGCAAAAAGTCACAAGTTCCCTTTTAAAGTTTCTCAGTTTATCGCTTCAAGCCCCCTTGAGTTAATTTATTCATATGTATGGGGACCTTCAGCTTCTATTTCTACATATGGATCTCGATATTATGTCTATTTTGTTGATGACTTTACTAAGTTCATTTGGCTTTTTCCAATTAAACAAAAGTTTGAAGTTGAGTCTTTATATACTCAATTTCAATCTCATCTAGAACGCCTCTTTGATACCAAAATAAAATCGATTCAAATAGATTGGGGTGGTGAATACAAAAGGCTCAACACTTACTTTAAAAATTATTGAATTGGTTATCGACTAGCTTGTCCATCCACCCATGAACAGATGGGAGTAGTAGAACGCAGTCAACACCAAGTAGTAGAGATAGGGTTGTCCTTATTGGCACATTCCAATATCCCTCAACACTACTGGGAAGATGCATTCCTTTCTGCCACCTATATTATAAACAGGTTACCAACAAAAATTCTCAAACAAAAATCACCGTTTGAGATGGTTTATAATAGGAAACCAAATTATCAATTTATGCGTATATTTGGATGTGCCTATTGGCCAAATCTTAGACCTTTTAACAGACATAAAATTGATTTTCGTTCTTAAACTTGTGTTTTTATCGGTTATAGCCTTTGTCATCAAGGCTACAAATGTCTTGACTTGTCAACCAGTAAAGTCTTTGTGTCGAGATGTCATTTTCAATGAAACACTTTTTCCTTATCAAAATCAGAACAAAACACAATCTCAGTCTGTGACTCAATCCATAGCTCTACCTCTAACCGTGCAACCTTCTCAGGTTTCCCCGAGTCATACTATCCCTTCTACATGTACTTCAACTGCCTCTCCTACTATTGAGTTTGGTTCTAAACAACGTACAAATCTACTTCAATCAAATAGTCAACTGTCTCTAGCAAGGAATGCTGAATCCACTCTTGCACCTTTTGATGTTCCAGCATCATCTACAAATCTTGTTCCTCCTGTTCCTGCACCAATCCAACATCAAATGCTCACCAAATCAAAAACCAACTCGTTCAAGCCAAGAGTTCTGTTTGATGGAACTATAAAATATCCTCTGCCTTGAACACTACTAGCAGCAGCAAATCCAGTGTCTACATCAAATGCTTCACAGATGTAGTAAACGATCACAAGGGGCGTGAGGCCATGAAAATTGAGTTTGACGCCTTGTTGAGAAATGGTACCTGGACACTTGAACCACCAAAACCAAACATAAACCTAGTAGGTTGTAAGTGGGTTTGTAGAATAAAGAGAAAGGCAGATGGTAGCATAGACCGGTACAAAGCCCGGTTAGTAGCAAAAGGATATCACCAGTAGCAAGGGGTTGATTTCAAAAAAACATTTAGTCAATTGTTAAACCTGGAGCTATTCATTTGGTACTTTCTATTTCACTATCACATAATTGGTCAATTCAACAAATCAACATCTAAAATGCGTTCTTACATGGTGTGCTCCAAGAGGAAGTTTATATGAGTAAACCGACTAGCTTTGTGCATCCAGATTACCCTTATCATGTTTGCCAACTTCACAAAAATCTTTATGGGCTACGACAAACACCAAGAGCTTGATTCTCACGATTCACAAACAAACTACAGTCACTAGGCTTTGTTGGCTCTAAATCAGATAATTTCCTTTATGTTCTTCAGCAAGGTCATCTTCGCATTTTGATCCTAATTTATGTCGATGACATAATAATTACAGGATTAGATTTGAAGAAAATTCAGCACATAATCCACCTACTCGGTTCTGAGTTTCCTATCAAATAACTTGGTGAGCTCTATTTCTTCCTTGGTGTGGATGCACTATGAACTGCTGGTGGCATGGTCCTCACATAGAGAAAATATATTGTTAAGCTCTTACGTAAGTCCTCTATGGATAAATCCAAACCCTGCATCACCCCTATATTTGCTATATGTCAGCTTTCAAAATTTGAGGGTCCAAAATTTGATGATCCACAGTTATATACAAGTATAGTTGGTGGTCTTCAATACCTGTCAGTTACACGGCCTGATATTGCCTTCATAGTTCACCGTGTAAGCAAGTTTATGCACCAACCCAGGGAGCCTCACTGGCAGTCTGTAAAGAGGATACTGCAGTATCTCAAGCATATTGTCTCTAATGGACTTTATCTTTCTGCACAAAGCTCTCATGAATTGCAAGGTTTCTCAGATGCCGATTGGGAGGGGAGGAGACAGAGATGATAGGTGATCTTTTGGTGCCTAATGTGTTTTCCACAGCCGAAACTTGATTACTTAGAGTTGTAAACAAACAACTCATTATTGCACGAAGCAGTACAGAGGCTGAATAAAAGTCTTTGATGGACTTTATTACAACTCCAAGTAATCAAGTATCTCAAGCATACTGTCTCTGATGGACTTTATCTTTCTGCATGAATTGCAAGGTTTTTTTTTTTTTTGGGGGGGGGAGACAGTGATGATAGGTGATCTTTTGGTGCCTA